CTGCACACCCGCCGCCCCCACCCAAACGTCATGTACCCCCTCTCCCCGGGGAACGGCCGGCACAGCTCACTCCCGGGCAGGAACCGCTCGGGCGCGAACCGGTCCGGGTCCGGAAACTCGCGCTCGTGGTGGTGGATCGCCCACACGTTGCCCTGCACCCAGGTGCCGCGGGGGATGCGGAAGCCCTTGTACGTGTCGTCCTGCGTGGGCGCGTGCGGCTGGCCGCCGATGATGGCGACGCTGCGCCAGCGGAAGACTTCCTTGACGAAGGCGTCGACGTAGGGGAGGCGGGGGCGGTCGGACCAGGTGGGCGAGCGGGAGGGGCCGACGACGGCGTCGAGTTCGCGCTGGGCGGCGGCGACGGCGGAGGGGAAGGCGCAGCAGGCTAGGAGGAAGGTGATCAGGGTGGAGGAGGAGGTGTCGGCGCCGGCGCCGAAGAGGTTGCCCGTCAAGGCGGAGAGCTCGGGGACCGGGAGGGGGGGGGACATGGCGGCCGAGGCGGTGAAGAGGGTGGTTACGTAGGGGGTGATGGGGAGGGCGCCGGGGGGCTTGGCGGCGTGTTGGGCGAGGGCTTCGAGGGCGAGGGTGTGGAAGAAGTAGTGCCCGGATTTTTGGGAGCGGGTGCCGAGGGAGCGGAAGTAGGGCATGAAGCGGGGGGCTTTGGCGAGGACTGGGACGCGGGGGGTGGTTAGTTGGGGACAAGGGGGATGGGGGGAGGGGGACGTACTGGGGAAGGTTTCCAGCAGCATGGGGAATGTCTTGCCGGGCACGTTGAGGTCCGCGGCGAGCTGCATCAGCGCGATCACCTCGGTGATGATGGGGTCGTCGGCGCGGGCGACGCGGCGGCCGAACGCAATGACGGACACGACGCTCGTGGCGTAGCGCTCGAGGTGCTTGACGAACCCGGCCGGGTCGCGCATCAGGTCCAGCGCGACGACCTTGCTCTCGTTGTCCTGGATGTCGCGGTACCCGCGCACCGCCTGCACGCCGACGCCGACGTGCATCAGCTTGCGGTGGATGCGCCAGCGGTCGCGCTCGGCCGTGTTGCGGATCTGCATGGTCACCAGCGACGACTGGCCCGAGCCGAGCTCGCCGAACACGACCATGCGCGGGCGCGACGTGTAGATCTGCGCCTTCTTCTCAAAGATCTCGTGCGCCGTCCAGGCGTCGTTGAGCCACACGGTCGGGTTGCGGCCGATCCAGAAGGTGATGATGGGCGAGTCGAACTGCTTGGAGAGCTGCTCAAAGTAAATCCACGGCTTGTTGTCGGGGAGGGAGAAGGTGTTGCCGATGATGGGCCAGGGGAAGGGGCCCGGGGGCATCTGCGAGCGTCGGTAGAGCATGTGGGCGTAGTCGGCGACGAGGGCGGTGATGGCGATGGCGAGCGCCGCGAGGAGGATGTTGGTGGTGCCGTATTGGGAGAGGACGGCCTGCATCTTGGCGAGGATGAGGCTGTCGGAGGTGAGGTGGTTGGAAATCATGGTGGTGGTGATTGTCGTCGTCGTCGGCGACGTCAATTGATGGTGGTTGAGATGGTCACGGTGGGAGCAGCGTGTCTGCGACGAGACAGCTTCGAGTGTGCGTGTCGTCTGTTGTACTATTTCCACATCAGTGGTAGGGCTGGTGGCGTTGGACACCCGGCTCCCGGCGGACTCGGATGTCGGTGTTGATGGCCGAGGAGGTCCGGTCTGGTCATGATGTGGGTGAGCAGGCCGTGGCCGGGCGGGGTGAGCCTGTGAGGTGGGGGGTCCTCGGCACCAGATGTATCTGCCGGGCGATCATCTGCGTCGACTGTGGAGTGTGGAGCGGCAAAATCGGGGTCGAGTGAGGAGACTCGGGAGAGTGGTGACATTGGTGAGGAGAATGGGGGGTCATCTGCAACGCAATGGGGCATATCTGATATTCCGTACCTGCGCTGACAGTGTTTCCACTAAGAATGTATCAACTCCAGACTATTCGTACACGCCAAGTATTCATTTGACCATGCTTCATCACTGCTTTTCTCCGCCGCCATCGTCCGTCTTAGCATCGCACCAAAAGCTCATGGGCACGCCGCGGTATGTATTGGCCCCAAAGTCGAATTGAGTTCCGTCCGCGCGTGTTAGTTGAGGTTCAGACCAAAGAAGGCTTAGCGTTAAAGCTGATGGGTTGCGAGCTTGAAGGGAGGCGAGGAGGCGGTCTCGCTGCTGGTTCAAATCGGACCATTCTTCCGTGAGTCTGTGCCTGGCAAGCGTGCAAGCACGGTTGGCAATGGCGTCCTCCTTATCCAACCGTTCCAACGCTTGCCGAAGACGTTCCTCCAGTGCCTGTCTTTTGGCTTGTCGCTCGTCACAACCTCTCCGGCACATTGCGCCCTGCTCGTGGATCGCAGCCTTGATGCGCAGTTCCTCGCGACAGAAGTTGTCTGCAACCTCTGGAACGCTGTTGCCTGTGAGTTGATGGCGCGGGACAGGCACCCCAGGAGGGATGGTCGGGGGCTTGGGAGTTGAGCGTTGAGGACGAGGTTGTAGAGTTGCCGACGGGTTGGCCGGGTTGACCGGTCGTGGCGCCTTGGGCGGTTGCATCGTGTTGGTGATCTGGGGGAGTCGATATGGATACAAGAGGTCGAATCCAGTGGTTGGATGAATGATTTCGAACTGGGGATGATGTGGCAATGTGGGCGAGATGAACGAGCAATGTCTTGTTGGAATCAACAAATGCCCGTTTGTGTTGTCAGATATACACCATGCGATTGCATCCCAGGCAGGTGCGAGGTGTTGCAACTTGCCAGTTTGAAATGGTTCATTCTTTCTCCTGCCCTTTCCACACTCATAATTTGCTCATGCCGCAAGATATTTTATCAAACGGGGAGTGGGCTTTCCCATCTCGCTCCACGACCACGTCTCTCTCCTCTTTCCATTTCTACTGTCAACCTTTTCCACTTTTTCTGACTTGCTTCTTCGAATTCTCGACAACGGTCAAATGCCTCTCTTCCGCCGGGTGTCAAAAGGCGGTTGATTTCACACCAAGCCAGACAGCACCAGGACCCAGACCTCCAGCTCAAAGTTTGATTAGAAGCGACGGGAAGCTTCCACTTCTATTACATGGAATAACAGAATTATCTCGATTCTCATCCGTCCAATGTCCGCATGCGTCTGCATGAACAAGTCGAGCGGTAACTGGTCAAGAGAACTGGCGTCAGTGTTCAGGAGGAAGGACTCGGAGCTCGTAGTTGAAACAAGAGCGTTCGAGCGAAGCGAGCAGCCCGCCGCAGGCGCCCCCGGAGGGCCGCCGGAGGCAAGCTGAGCGTTCACGGTTCTGACACGGGTGCAGGGTATTTTATGACCATTTATTTCTACACCCTTGCAAGTTGAGATGGCTCACGAGTTCTGATTCTGCAGCATGAGTCCTCACCATTCTCGACACCATACATGTCCCTGTCAAGAACTCGATCCCACGGCCAAGATACAAACACAAGTCCACAACATGCACAAGTCGTCAAATCCCAAGTCTCCAGACTGGACCGGACCGGACCACCGAGCACTCTTGGCGTCGACGATTAACTCCCTCCGCCAGAGTCACCCCGGATCTGCTGGGCTAGAAGAAGCTTTCAAGCGACATTGCTTGGCCCTCTGAAACCCCCGGACCATTACAAGCGGAATTGTTGCCATGCATGTAGACTGAGCTAGTCTCTAGAACTTGCTCCTTCAGCTCCGCTACGACCTGCACAGTTCGCCTCACGGGCACAAGGAGTTCGTCGTCGGCTGTGTAACTGGAGCGGCTGACCCCCAAAGCATGCCCCAGAACGAAACGGCGCTTTTCCTCGGCAGGATTGCAGATCAGCCAGTCCCCAGGGTGCCACCCCTTCTGAGTCCTGCTGACATGTCCCAGCTCGCCCGTGACCATCACCACCTACAAGCTCCCCCTCTCGGGCACTGCGCAGCAGATCCAGAAGGAGACCTTCACCATGTCCGGGCGCGGCCCCAACTCGCGCCAGGACAAGCCGCACCCGCACGAGGTGGCGCTGGACATGACCAAGAACTTCAACGTCATCCCCGACCCCGGCGCCGACGTGATCCGCGTGTTCCGCATCGACCACTCTTCGGGCCGGCTCCTGTCGTGCTCGACGGCGCAGCACGAGAAAGGCGCCAGGCCGCGGCACATCAAGTTCTGGAAGTCGGCGGCCGGCGTCGAGGTGGCCTACACGGTCAACGAGCTCGGCAACTCGGTGTCGGCGTTCAGCGTCGCCTACCCCAACAACTGCCTGCAGCTCACGCGCACGCAGACGCTGACCAGCATCCCGCCCGGCAAGCGCGCCGGCTCGGGCACCAAGGCCGCCGAGGTCCGCATCTTTGGCAACTCTTGTATGCTGCCAACCGCGCCCACGCCGCCTTCAGCAGCACCCAGGCCTCGATCGCCATCTACACCATCAACCCCACCACCGGCGCCCTGACTTGGTTGGATGCCGGCAACTCGTACAGTCACTACCTGCGCACCTTTGAGATCAACGCGGCCGGCACTCTTGTTGCTATCGGCGGGCAGACCTCGGCCAACGTGGTCATTGTCGAGCGCGACGTCACGACTGGCAAGCTCGGCAAGCTGGTTGGCAACATCCAGCTCGGCAACAAGGGCCGCGCCGGCGAGGAGGACGGTCTCTCGGCCGTTGTTTGGGTTGAGCAGTAAGTGCTCTGCCGTAGCGGTGGGGCCCTGGGGCGAGTCTCGGGGTGTACATACGGTGGCAACGAAAAGGGGAATAGTTGGTTCCGGGTCCCGACGACGACGACGACGCACGTGGTGGGTTGTTGTCTTGTAAATAACTTTGATTCTTGAACAAATAGATTTTCTCTGTCGCATGTCTTGACGGTGCAAGGGGGGCTGGCTGGCACGGGAACCAGCGACCCCGAAGGATTTGCGCAGCGCAACAACGCACTTGATCTTCAGCAACCAAAAAGTCGGACTTGAATCCAAGCATCTCATGGCTGTCAAGTGCAAAGTCCAAAAATATATGGAATGGTTGGTTCCGACACCTGCAGGATTCGAACCTGCGCTCCCGAAGGAACTGCCTTGGTATGCTTGGGGTATAGCAGGGCAGCGCGTTAACCACTCCGCCAAAGTGCCTGTCTTGGTTGGGGATGCGATGGAAATGGCGGTCCATGTTGTGACACTGCGGGTCGTGGGAGGGGGTCGGTCAGATGACTGGTCCCCGACGAGGTCCAGAACACCGACCACTGAAATTCAGGGGACTTCAGGCTGCGCACTTCCCCTCACGCGCAGGTGATGCCAGCTGCCGAGGTCACGCTGCAGCCCGGCCAGGCCCCCTTGGCACGGCAATGACATCATATCATGGCCTGACGCAAGCCCAGGCTGCCCAGCATTGGGCTTTTCCAAACACATCGGCGCCAACGTCATTTCCATACCGTCATTTCTTTCCGATTGAAAGAAGACCCAGGGTCCAGTCTGTCGATCATGCTGCCCTTGGTAATGGTTCGCCGGCCAAGGAGAGGAATGCATCATCGAAATCAACTCCGATTCCTTTTTTCTCCTTCTTTTCACGATTACGAGCACCCGAATACCACTGATATACCCGCACCTGCCTGTCCTGCCACCACCATCCCCGTCCTCCCTCGTCCCGACCATTTCCCAAAAATAAAGTCGCACCATGGACACGAGCACACCGCCAGACAAAAACAACACAATGGAGAACCAAAACTGGAGCGAAAAACAAAACCCCCCCGACGCCCACCTCGCCCCCCCGGTTCCCCTTCCCGATAAAGACGGGAGCGAAACAACGGGCACCGGCACCGACGCGGCCTCAATCCACGACCCGGCCTCGTCGGCGCCGCCCCTCCCCCCAACCTCGGCCGGCGACCCCTCCCCGAACGAAGTCCTCCCTGGCCTGCCCCGCCTCGACTACAACCTCTGGAACTACAAGTGGAAGCTGTCGTTCATCGTCTTCCTCCTCGTCGTCGAATCCTCCCTCCTCCCCATCGCCCTCTACTACGGCCTGTACTTCAACACGACGCTCCGCCTCGGCCTCGTCTTCGCCATCATCACGTCCTTCTTCGGCATCGTGACGGGCATCGAGTTCGGCCTGCGCATGCTCAAGCTCATCCTCAAGGGCGACACGTACCGCCCGCGCGGCGGCACCAAGTGGAGCTTCGACTTCACCCACCACACCCTCTCGGTCGGCTACACGTACATGTCGGGCATCCTGATCGGCGCCTCCATCCCGCACAACCCGCCCGTGCGCCCGCTGGCGATCCCCGTGTCGCTGTTCCTGGTGCAGATGGGCGTCCAGCTGCTGTGGTCGGGGTGGATGGTGGCCAACGGCAAGAAGGCGCCGTGCAGGGTCAGCAACGTGGCCAAGGGCGAGCCGATGCCGCCGTTTGTGCTGACGGCTGTTGAGGACATTGTGGCTGTGGATGGAGGCGCGGGGAGGGAGTACAGGGACCAGCTGCACGCGCGGTACAAGGCGAGCGCCATGTTTCGCAGGATGATAATGCGGCAGACGTGGTTCTGGGGGTGGGGGTCGCTGCTGGTGGGTGTCGGGACGTTGGTGGTTGTGTGGACGGTGCCTGTGTCGGTTGCGTATGGAGTTGGTAAGTTTTGTGCGTCTGTCGATGTGGTGCCGTGCTGACAACATCTTGCAGGTTGGGGAGCCCCGTTGATATTCACGATTGTTTGGATCACGACCTGTGTCCTCTGGGTGCGGCGGGATCTGAGGATGGAAAAGAAGAGGTGGCTGGGTGTACACATGGCAGAGATTCCGGCCGAGGCGCTGCGTCACTGATACGAGTAACGATACCATTTACATTTGAGCAACAAGGCGTTGGGGTTGGGGATAAACATTGGCAAGATAGATAATACCAGTTATCTCTGCATCCACTGGCACAACACCTCGGGATTCATTGTATACCGACTTCCCATTGTCCCAAACACAAACACGGCCTCTGACACCGACTCACAGCTCCAGGGGCAACTTGAACAGTCGGATGGCGTTGCCCCGCGCAACCGCCTCCTTTTGGTCCGCCGGCAAGTCAACACCCTTCCACCACGTCTGCGCCTCCTCGATGGTGTCGTAGGGGTAGTCTGACGGTCAGTTTGTGCCATCCACCTCGACATGTTCTCGTACTCACCGATCGAATACAGACACCTGTCCACCCCCAGCTCCCTGATGCAAAACTTGAGCCCCTCTGTCGAAAAGTTGCCCGACGTCGTGATGGACACGTTGTGCTTGAAGTAGTAGCTGTAATCCTCCTTGGACGGCCTCGCCTTCTTCTTCAGCGGCTTGTTGTACCAGTGATCAGCCCGCCACAAATTGAACGGAATCCTGTTCCCCGAAGGTCAGCATCACCCCCCTTTCCCTCCCAAGGTATGACCAAACTCACCCCTCCCCCAAATGCCCACAAACCACCTGCACCCCCGGAAACTCATCAAACACCCCCGCCGAGCAAATCGCATACAAATGCATACTCAAATCCAAATGAAACTGCACCGCCGCCCCCAGCAAATGCCTCCGCACCCCGTACTTGCTGTGCCCCGCCCCGAGCTCCTCCGGCCCGGGATACCTCGGATGCATATAAACCGGCACCCCGAGCTCCTCCACCACCCTCCAAAACCCCCTGTACTCCTCCTCGTCATAATACCGCTTCCCCCCCCCCTCCACATCCTGCCAGTCATTCACCATAACCCCCTTCATCCCCAGCTCCCCCACCGCCCGCCTCACCTCCCCCACCGCGTCTTGGGCGGTATGCATCGACACGCACGCCAACCCCCCGAACCGCGCCGGGTTCTTTGCGACCTCCCCCGCCAGCCAGTCGTTGGCCTCGGCGGCGAGCGCGCGCGCCTTGGCGGGGTTTGGTTCGCCCTGCGGACCGGGCGAGGTGATGGACAGGAGCATGTACTCGACGCCGTGGGCGTCCATGTGGGCGAGGCGGGCGGTGTGGATGTCGAGGAGGGCGAGGGTGAGAGGGGTGGTGGGGAAGGTGGAGGGGTCGGCGGTGGGGTTGAAGATGGTGGCGGAGGGGGCGAGCCAGGAGAGTCCGGAGGGGGGGAGGCAGGCTTCTTCGATGGCTATGGTGCCGCGGGGGGCGGCGACGGGGGTGGGGGACATTTTGGGGGTGTGGGGGTGTGTTGTGTGGTGGGGGTGTTGTGTGATGGGGGGTTGTGGATGTTGAAGAAGGGGTGCCCGAGTATGTCAGAGAAGGAGACGCCTGGTGTTGTTGTCTCTGGTGGTGTTATCGCCGCCGGTGTCTGCGGGGTAGACGGACTTCAACTGCCGGCGGGACCCCTGGATGAAGTGCTCCGCACGCGCCCGGGGTGAATCCGACTGCTGTTGCGGCGGTTGGATATTCCCATCCGCCGCTCGCTCGCTGGATAAAAAGGAAAGGCCGGCTTCCGAGGTTCCATCCGGTAGTTTTGTTGTACCCGACCCCAACTCTGCGACCACCCAGGGTTTTGTTGTGTGTGTGTTGACGTCAAAACACCAAACAATCCGAAAATACTCTCCTTTTCGAGCGACTTGTCGGCATCACCAGAACCTCAGCAGCTTGGATATCTGACACCACCAAAATGGCCACCACATTCGACAATGGCGACGGGATCCTGATGCCTCGCATGCTCATCAACGGAGAGGTGCCCCCCTCTCCCTCTCTTCTCAACCACTGCCCTCACTGACACCCCCGTGCAGCTCGTCGAAGCCTCAGACAAAGGCCGATTCCCCGTCCACAACCCCACGACCCGCGAGATCTCCGCCCTCGGTACCCCCCCCTTCCCCTCCAACCCCTCCCCCCCTATTATTGACCCCCCACAGTCCCCGAAGCAACCCCAACCGACACCAACCACGCCGTCGCCTCCGCCCTCGCCGCCTTCCCCACCTGGTCCTCCCTCGACCCAACCGCCCGCGCCGCCCCCCTCCGCCGCCTCGCCGCCCTCCTCACCCAGCACGCCCCCGCCCTCGCCCGCCTCGAAGCCATCTCCATGGGCCTGCCCACCTCCTCCTTCCACTACGCCCACACGTGCGCCTCGCTCTTCACGCACTACGCCGAAGCCTGGCCGCGCATCCAGGGCCACTCGTCCCTCAACACCCCGGGGCACCTCACCCTCACCCTGCGCCAGCCCTACGGCGTCGCGGCGCTCATCCTCCCCTGGAACGCGGGCGTGCACTTCCTCGGCGCCAAGGCCGCGCCGGCGCTGATGGCGGGGTGTACGGTCGTGTTGAAAGCGAGTGAGAAGGCGCCCCTCGCCGTCGCGCGCATCGCGGAGCTGATTGTCGAGGCGGGGTTCCCGCCCGGGGTGTTCAATGTCGTCAGCGGGGGCGGGAGGCCGTGCGGGGCGATGTTGGCGGAGCATGCGGACGTGCGGGTGCTGTCGTTTACGGGGTCGGCGAGGACGGGGAGGGCGATCCAGGCGGCGGCGGCGGCGGGGAATTTGAAGAAGGTGGTGCTGGAGTTGGGGGGGAAGAGTCCGGCGCTGGTGTTTGGGGATGCGGATGTGGAGAGGGCGGCGAGGGAGACGGCGGGGAGTGTGTTGGTGAATAGCGGGCAGGTGTGCATGGCGAATTCGAGGGTGTATGTGGAGAGGGGGGTGCGGGACAGGTTTTTGGAGAGGTTTGTGGAGGTGTTTAGGGGGGTGAAGGTTGGGGATCCGGTGGATGGGAGCACAAAGATGGGGCCGCAGGCGGATGAGGTGCAGTATGGGGTTGTGATGGGGTTTATCGAGGGGGCGAAGGAGGGCGGGGGGAAGTTGCTGGTTGGGGGGGAGGGGAGGTTGGAGAGTACCGGGGGGTACTTTGTCGAGCCGACGGTGTTTGTGGATGTGCCCGAGGATGAAAAGATCACCAAGGAGGAGGTGTTTGGGCCGGTTGTGGTCATCAACACGTTTGACACCGAGGCCGAGGCCATCGCCAAGGCCAACGACACCGAGTTTGGGTTGTATGCGTCCGTGTATACGCGGGATATCAGCCGGGCGATCCGGGTGGCCAAGGCGCTGGAGAGTGGTTATGTCGCTGTCAACTGCACGAGTCCGTTGACGGGGAGGGACCTGCCGTTTGGCGGGTACAAGGGGAGTGGTCAGGGGAGGGAGGGGCTGCTGTACAGCATGGAGAACTTTCTCGAGAC